GGGTTTGATTGGGAACTGTACGGCTGTGAGGCTTTCTGCGTGTGCATGCAAGAGCCTGTGCGTGGTGGTGTCATTCTCACAGCGACTTTGACCTTTAGCAAGGGGGGATGCTGGACAGAGAGAGGGCTTAATGAGTTTGCAGGCTATAATAGCTGCAGCTCTATCTAAGGAATCATCCATCTACATGAGACCCATAATTAGCTGGTAAGACATTGGACCAGCGCTGCGCTTCCACTTATTATTCTGCGACTATATGTGGGAGTGGAGAAATGGATAAACAAAGCCCTCCTTTGAACGTAATTATTAATCTGCTGTCAATTTCTGTGCAGTAAAGAGTGAAAAGGTGGCTCATCGCTTCCAGAAAATGGTGGAAAAAAAGCAACAGACTTAGGAAAATTAAGTTAGATTAGTAGAACGAGAGAGCTCATTTCGAGCAAACTCATAAATGACAAATCTGAGGGGGGGGGGGGGGGGGGTTTACAAATGAGGGCATAATAAAAAGGATCTGTTTTTTTCTGAAATTATTTAAATATGTACTCAAGATCACAAAACATACAACAGATGTCCTTACTTACTGACCTTCTTGCAGATACAAATGCTCAAAGTCAGTATTTTATGATGCATTGTGGTCAAGCCTTTACTCCGGTTGGTTGAAATGCACTTTAACCGGTTTCACATCTACCTGTGTTGCAGCTGTGCTCTGCAGACATTCTGACACCTAACGGCATCGCACAGTGAGGACATATCGCTATCTTGACATAAAATACCAGTAAAGCAATTTTATAAATGTTTGTAAATAAAATTCAATACAAAAGCAGGTGCAAAGGACCAAAAGACTATGTTGAACTCTAACCTTGAATAGCAGAAACAGATATGACTGTAGAGCATCTGTCAAAAGATCATAAACGTAGTCAAAATGGAAAATCAGTGCATGGAAATAGAAAGTGTATCCTGCCACCATAGAATTTAAGAGGGAAAGTAGCAAACAGGTGCTGCTGATCAAATACAATTAACTGATCATCACAAGTGTGACCATCTCTATAAAAGTTTGTCAGTTTATCAAGGTCAAGGTGTCTTTATTGTCATTCACACCACATGTGGTACATATGGTGGAATGAAACTATGTACACAGGGTCCTAGTAACATCCACCAAAAATACAAATTGTAAAGAAAAACAGTATTAAGATCTAAGATATGAACTAAGAACTACGATAATCTAAGAATACACTAAGCACTAGTAGTACAAAACAATGCGCCGAACAACAGCAGCACGAGCATGAGTCTGTTTGAGCAGATGAGGACGAATGAACACAGAAACTTGAAATAAATCAGCAGCATGAGATCAGCATCTTGGATAGTCAGCAGCACATATCAACAATCAAGTGGCTTTACAGTGATTTTTTTTTTCACAGTGATAATCCTGACTAGGGATTCATGAGTCTAACAGCTTCAGGGTAGAAGATGTTCCTCAGCTTAGTGGTTCTGCATTTAATGCTCCTCAACCTTCTGCCTGAGGGGAGTGGGACAATATTGTGTGTGTATATATATATATATATATATATATATATATATATATATATATATATATATATATATATATATATATAATATCCAATATTATTGAATGGAAGCATCAATATATTTTAACTAGAAAGAAGCCTGCAAAGCCAGAAGTTGAAGCCACAAAGAACAAGTGCCTCCTGCTAGACTGACTGCAGACCTTTAAGCCCCGCCCCTCCAAGTAAAACTGAAGAGTATCATGATTTAAAAAAATATCCTAATACACTTTAGATCAATTTTTAGACGTTGATGTTCGCTTGTTTGTGTAGCTCCTACATTGTTGCTGTTTGTTAAAATATGCATTTTTCAAATTGTTCAGTGCCAGTTAGTTATCTGAGGCCTACAGGAAGGTGCTACTCTGTGATTGACAGCTGCAACCTGGTGGTGAGATGGAAGGGTGTGTAAGCAGAACTTAGCACCCACAAACCCCAAAACATTTTGGCTTCAATTGAGAGCAACGGAACAAGGGGGAGATGATTTGTCTCTATGTCGATGGTCTGGGGTATAGAGAGGTGTGTGTGTGTGTGTGTGTGTGTGTGTGAACACAGTTCGACAAGAATGACCTCAGAGAAAGAATTGTTGCTGCCCATCAATCTGAGAAGAATTATAGGGTCATTAAAAAAAAAAAAAAAAAAACCGTGGAGTCCATTCTACAAAAAGATTATTCACAAGAGAAAGACATTTAATACGTTGGCCAATCTTGCTAGCATATTCACCCTGATGTCAGACTGTGCAATAATAAAAACTGAAGGAAACTCAAGAGCTCCATTTCAGACTCTACAGGCCTCAGTTAGCAGGGTAAAGGTTAAAGTTCATGGCAGGACAGCTAGAAACTGGCGGGACAATGGCTTGTTTGGAAGTGTTTGGAAGGAGAAAACTAAAAAGAACATGACAGCATGACTCGGGTTTGCCATCTGTGTCAAAGTGAAGCACAAGAACAATGTAGTTTGGGCAGATAAGACAAAAGTGAAAATGCTTACCCATAATGCACAGGGTGTATATTTGGCAAAAATGAATAAATAGAAAAACAACACAGCACAAACACCTCATATAAATTGTGAAGAATGAGGCAATTGTTTTCCAGCCAAAGGACCTGGACACTGTGCGGTCATGGAGTCGACCATGAGCTCCTCTGTAGATCAAAGACCGTCTGTCCAACACCTAAAACTTGGACCAAACTGGGCCACGATGCAACAGGCAGTGATCTCAAACACAGAAGCAAATCTACAACACAACGGCTGAAAAAGATAAGAATGGAAAAGTGTTGTAAAGTTAAATTCCAGATCTTACCCTGACTGAAACGCACTGGTGGGACCTTAAGAGAGCTGTGCAGAAATAAATACAAACCATGTACTGAAACAACGATGTAAAGAATAGTGGGGCAAAACTCCGACACTATAATATGAGAGACTGATAAAGTTACAGAAAACCACCACAGAGAGAGGGTTTGTTACCAGTGGAGCTGCTGGACCCTGTGATGGACTTTTCCCCAAATATGTTACTTTGTTTATGTTTATTCAGTTTAATTCAGTTTATTTATATAGTGCCAAATCACAGCAGAAGTTGTCTCATGACACTGAACAGAAATGTTCACATACATACAAAAAACACTTAGTAAAAGTCATCTATCTAAGGAAGGAAGCGGCAGACTGCGTTGAATCTTCACTTAGTCGCAGTCTCCCATGCTGAGCAAGAACAATGGCAACAGTGGAAAGGAAAAACTCCCTTTCAACAGGAGGAAACCTCCAGAAGAACCAGGCTCAGGACAAGCGGCCATCTGCTTCGACCGGGTTTGAGAGGACAGGAAGGAGAAACAAACGAACTCAGAATGGCAGGTCCAGGTGTAGGTGCAGGTGTACCTACTGGAAGAAAGACAAAAAACACATGTTAAGGATTGAAAACACTACAAATAAAAACAGGTAGAAATACAAAACAGATAGAAAAGAGTAAATAACGACAGCAGCAGAGTGAAGAAACGTGGTCAGTTTGTCCTCCAGCAGTCCAAGTTTATAGCAGCATAACTAAGGGATGGCTCAGGAAACCCAAGCCGACCCTAACTATAGGATTTAGCAAAAAGGAAAGTCTTAAAACTGGACAATGTGTCAGCTTCACGGACAGAAACTGGAAGTTGGTTCCACAAGAGAGGAGCCTGAGAACTGAAAGATCTTCCTCACATTCTGCTTTTGGAAACTCTAGGAACCACAAGTAAACCTGCAGCCTGAGAGCGACATGCTCTGTTAGGAAAACATGGAACAATAAGATATAAAATGGAGCTAGGTTGTTGAGAGCTTATTAGAAGTAAGATTTTGAATTTTATTCTGAATTTGACCGGGAGCCAGTGGAGAGAAGCTGAAACTGGATCTCTCATTAAAACTCTGGCAGCAGCACAGATCAGCTGAAGACGTTTTAAAGAAGTTTTTGGACACCCAGATAATAAACATTTATTCAATATCTGGGATTAAAACTGAATAACCTTCAAACCGGATGTAGACCAGATCCTGTTCTGACCACTCACTGGATTAAAAGTCCCGTTCAGGGCTGTGTTTGCAGACAGGCGCACATTCCTAATCCTCATCCTCATCCTTCCTCTTCTGCGTTTGTCCATCATGCACTCACTGCAGAGCACACACACACACACACACACACACACAAAACCCCTCACAAGACAAACCAGACGCGAGTGAATCTCAATGACACGCGGATGCGCGCTCCGCGTGTGCGAATTTGTATGCAAAGCACTGCGATTGCTATCATGCGGGGCTGAAATGGCATATCCATCATTTTCATGTAAGGCAGAGGATATGAAAAACACACACTGCGAGGTGATCTCATTTCCATTCTTTCGTGCGTTACGGGCGCGCGCGGTAAGTTGATGACATTTAAACGCTTCTCCCTGAAGGGGAGCGGGTCCATCCGTTCCCAGGACGTGATCCGCTCCGGGTTTTGCGCCTCTTCGCTCATTCTAAAGCGCACACCTCTGATTCTCCCAGCACTCCCCAGCATCGCTGCGCGAGCAGATGTTCCTCGTCCTCCCGTGCCAATTCTTCCCGTGCTCGCCTTTTTTTTTTTTTTTCTTTCTTCCTCCTTTTGTTTGTTTAGTTTGTTTTTTGAGGGAGAAGATTTTTTTTTTTCCCCTTCGGCGCGGAAGTGTTTCGTCTCAGTGACACGGATAGTTTCTTTGTGTGTAAGTGTGGATACAGCGCAGCTTGCAGTGAAAGCCGCAGTTTAATCACCACACCTGTGATGCGTTGTTCTGAGCGACCAGCACGCACGAGCCGCATGCAGATGGGCAGCGCGCGGCGGCAGGAGGAGAGCATGTGCTGAAGGAGGAGAAGACACTTGGACAACAGCGGCGTGAAAAGTGCAACAGAGCACTGGTGGATGTGAAAAGGACCCCCCGCCTGGTTTACCTGTTTGAAACTTGATTAAAGAGCACGAAGATGTCTCCGGGCCGCCTTGTTGTCCGCGGCGGCGCTTCGCTTCTCCTCCCGGGGCTCTGGCTCGTGTTTGCCGGCTTCGCCTTCACCGCTGGTAAGTTCGTACTTTTTAATTCAGCTCACCCCCTTTTTTTTTATTTTTTTATTTTTTGTTGGCTAACGCGTAGTAAAAAAAAAGAAACGCGCACGTGCTGTTTCTGTTGTGTGTGTGTGTGTGTGTGTGTGCGCGCGCGCGGGGAGAAACCGGGCGCGTGACGGAGCACGCTGGAGTTCAAATCGTTTTGGCTAGCTGCTGTTTTCCTCTCGTAAGTTAGCTCGAGTCTTTACGAGGTTAACGCAAGAAAATGACGCTTTTTTTTTTTTATCCCCTCCAGGTTCAAACTTGTGACGCTCGTTCGTTGCTCTGACGTGTTATTAATGTGTGTATTTTGAATAATGTCCCAGTTTATTCACCTTTTTGTTGTTGTCTCTGCTCTACACCTGCTTGTGACGGTGGCTGCAGCAGAAGTGAGTGAACCGAGGAGCTATAAAAAAATGATATGCGCATCTTCAGCAAGCTTCTTCAAAATTCAGCCCATAAAAGTTAAAACTGAGTTATTTAAATCTCTTATTCTACCACCAGGGTCATTTACCTCCACTTTTCTCCCCCCGTCAGGACTCATTCCTGCTGCATTTGCAGCTCGGTGACAGCTTTACTGAGCTGTGCACGAGCTGCGTGAGTTATATTTTATGATGTAGTTTTGGCCACACGCACCAGATTGCATGCAAATGATGCACGAAACAACCCCTGACATGTGAGGTGAGCCCCAAGTGCAAGGATGGGAAGTTTCTGCTGGTGGCAGCATGCAGGCCAGTCCTAAGACGAGGTCCTTTCATGATAATAGTTTGCTGCAGCTTTGTTTAAACACTTCTTTGGAGGTTAATTTTATTACATGCAACATTCAGCACAACCATTTGACATTCAAATTTGTTACCTGATCAATGCATTCAACTTTTCTGCTGGCCTCCATGCAAAATGTCTCCGCTCGTCTTTTAAAACAACATCTCTGCCCGTTCCTGTGACTCTGAATCTCATCATGAAGCACAGCTGGAAACAGCTGCTCGAACCCGCAGCGCAAGAAGTCCTCGCATCGTTTGCCTCGTGTTGCTTCTCACTGGTTAACCTTGGTTTGGACAGAAGACGGTTTGTAACCGTGTCTCCAACATGACACCAAAATGATGATTTAAGAGGGTATTCTGCTTGCATTAATCGTATAATTATGAATATATAGTAGGATTAAATAAATAGTCACGCTCCAGGGACCTTGTGGATTAATAGTATATGGCAGTGTTTACAAATTGTTTTTTATAGCACCCGATGTTGACAATTGGTTTGGCTTATGTGTCTGATTTAAGTGCTCAGAAGTTAAGAGATGTATTATTTTGAGCATTGATGTATTTATTTGTGGAGGTTGTGTGTTCTAGGTGCTCTGTGCATGCCTGGGCTACCTCTTGAACTCCATAGATCTGGAGATGTAGGTCAATTTTTAAGGCTGTGAATTCCCCCCGGTGCGTTGCTGTTTCTTTGTTTGCTCGCTCGCTGCTTGCTGGTGTAAGATCACAACCTTCTCGTGACCTCAAACAGAAAACATCAGGTGTAGTAATGGTGGGGAAGGTGTGAGGTGTTGAAATTCTATTAGTGTCTTCTCTGTTTTGAAAAATCCTCCTGGACTTTTTCTCCTTTTCTTTTTTTCTTGTTGGACAGTACAGGCTTTTTCCAAAAAGCTCTCATCACAACTCAGACTCCAGCTACCCTTTTTTTTTTTGTTTTTATTGAACGTGTTCCAGAAATGGATGGTGAGGTAATTTGGAAGCCAATTCATTCTGCATCAGGAACTGGGATGGTCTCGGCTGAGATCAGTCAAACCATAGCCCCCCCACCCCCCTCGTATGGAGGCGAGCTGCTGACTCGGCGCTCGTCTGTATCAAAGCTGGCTTGTCTTCTCTTTTCAGGGAAACATAACTCAGTCAGTAATAAAGGTGGGGCTGTCAGTCTAGGTTTGAGCTGGCTGAGCACTTTGTCTTTCACTGCGCTGTGATTGACCGGACTGAGAGATGCACCTTCAGCTTCGAGCCTAAACAAAACCAAAAAAAAAAAAACTGTTCTGTTTTGCCTTGGTGTGCACACCTCTTGATGCTTTTAGTATGCAAAGTGTATCTGTGCGTGTGTGGGAGGGTGTTTCCACAAAGATTTGCATTCATGTGTTTCTGCTGTGTGTGTGCTGTATACTCCTGTTGCTCCTGTTGTTAACCATTTGTTCAGACTTTGGTTTGCTGCTGCTTCATATTTTATTTCTTCCTTCTGAAATATCATCAAGCCTTAACTGTCGATGCAGAGAAAATAAAAATCTGCCTTTTTTCGTGTGTTTGCTTTTCCCTTCTGCCCAGTGAGAGCGTTGCCAAGCAATTGTTGTCTGGTTCAGCGAGGGAACATGGGATTTAATATCAGGCACCTTCCTACTTGTGTGAGCCGTCACCTCAGAGCAATTTCCACGGGGTGTAAATCTTGTGATGATGCAAGGGGTTGGTCATTAAATGACAACAAGCCGAAATCTATTGCGTAATACCGCAATTTGTGAGTTCTCGTCTTATTACGATCAGAGAAAGATGCTTTTGCCAGACGTCTTATCATGCTACTGTGAATGACTGTGCGAATCATTCCAGAGTTGTCTCTCTCTCCTCATTGACTGACTAAAGAATGTGATAAGAAGAGCAAAAGCTGAAATTAACACAATTTATTGGGGGGAGAAATTGCCTTCTGGTCAAAGGAATTTAAAATCACTTCGTTTTTGTCCCATAGCTAATGCATGGCAAATGATCATCATGTATTTTCAGGGATATGGTCTTTTTACAGGGAAATGATGATTTGTATCCAGAAAGAGGCTTTTTTTTTTTTTTTTCTTCCCTCGAGTTACTGGAGATAAATTCAAATAACACAAGAAACAGGAAGGCTTGAACACTAAGAAGAAAGCAAGTTTCACTTCAGACTATTTAGTTTCCAAACTGCTGATATTCAAACAGAAAATTAGCATGGCATAAAAATGCAGAACGTATAGTTCAAGAAAGCAATTACACAAAGAAAATTTCAAATGATTTCTCCCCTCGGGCGTACGATTGCTCATTATTTCACGCCGCTTACAACGTTTGAAATGGACAGTATCACAGCGACAGTGTCGAGTTGCTTTTTTGCTGGACTCAATTACCAAATATTGCATTTTTATTTGCTCGCAGGAAAGAACACAGATAATTGAAGAATTTTTTTTTTTTTCCCCTCTGTCCAAACTCTGCAAAGTAATTTCCCCTCAGTTTGAGTCGTGGTGATTAATGAAGGCAAAGATAATAGTTCAGAATAAACAAATAAAAGGTAAACGGTGCATGTCAATGCAGGTCAGCTTTAAACAGTACTGGAGCGCGCTCGATCAGGTGACAAATGGTGCCTTGACGATCAGGTGCCTTATCTTTCACCAAGCCGTGTCCCTGCACTTATCATTTGCAAATGGCCGTCTTGAAAAGCAAAGGAAGGACGCAGCCTTTACGGAGGACACGGGGAGGATGAACCTTGAAGAGGGGAGGAGTTGGGTGTTATTTTCTGCAGTCTGTGCAGAGGCTCTCAGAAGGCACTACATCTTTGTCAAACTCTGCCCTTTTGTTTCAATTACCCCCATTTCTGTGATTCAGCTCCATGTGAGATCGCTTAGACTCTTTCTCTCTTCAAATGCAGCTCACCGCAGTTGCAATTTGTGCTTTTCCATCTAGGTAGCACAGAAAGCTGACCTGTAGTCTCCATCTCAGCTGTTGTGTGCCATCGTTGCTGCCAACCATCTTGTCCAAGCGACCATTCACGGCGATCCATAAGCCACCAGAGAGAAGTTGGGGCTGGGGTTGAGGTTAGGGTTGCTGGAGGCTTTAATTGAATGTTCACTTCTCTGGGTCTCCTCTTTACTTTTACTGTCAATGGGCAAAAATAAAACGCAGAGCTGACATTCAACCTTGGGTGTCACTGTGCTCTCTTGTAGGAGGGGAAAAATCACCTCAGCAAAAAACATGGGTCGTGTGAAGGTTGGCGTTGAATCCAGGAGGTCAGTCACAGAATAAAGTACTGATGCTGCCAAAAGGCACTGCTGTCATTTTTCTGTTGGCCTTGAGTTGGCTGAGTGTTATTAACCAATAAACTGGTCGGCTATGGTTTAGTTTGGACTCTGCTTACTGGAAATTCATATGAGGGCATCATGAGTGACACGTACTGTAAGTGTTGCCTAAACGCTGCAGTCGATAACCACTCTTAACTTTCATTCATGTGTCATCAGAACCAGCTGTCGGCAGTGAAGAAAAAACCTGTCGAGTGTTTATCAGGCTGAGAAACTGCAAAAGAAAAGACCGTTTTATGTAGCCGCATGAGATTGTAATAAGTTATGGTGATGCCTGTGCCTTGTTCAGTCATGTTATACGTCACAAATCACTGATCAATTCATGAGATTGCAACTTCCCTCGCAGTGGAGGGAGAATGTACGGGCCGAGATGGGGTAGAGGTAGGGCAGCCGACTTGGCACCAGAAAGTCACTGTTCAACTCCCCGCCCTTCCCACAATGTTGTGGTGTCCCTGAGCAAGACGTCTACTGCACTGCAGTGGTGTGGTCTTCATTTTTGTAGTGGGTACACAGCGGTAAAGTTAGTTTTACGTTGGACACAGCTGAAGCCATGGAGCGCTAATGTCCAACGTAAACCTACCTTTACTGCGGTCGGTCCGTATATTGTGCTTTAAAAGTACACTGGTTAGTACAATGTAATCGTCAATTTATTTTGAGTGTTAAGCATATTGAACATTCCAAATATCTCTGACGCTAATATTTGAATAAATGAACAACAAACTTTGTACAACAGTTGGCTTTGTATTAAAAACCTTACAGAATTTATAAAAGCAAAACATGTTCAAGTATTAAGTAGTAAGTACAGAATTATACAATAATTTGCTGGATAAGCAAATGTAATAAACAAGCTCTACATACCGATAGATTGTTACGGAAGTGTTTAACTGCAGTTTAACATATCAATGAC